TAAGTCCTGAAAGCAGGAAATCAACTCGACTAGATGGAATAATTTGCAAATTACCTCGTCAATTTTACTGTCAACTTGAACATAATAGGCAAATGACCCATAAAATGCTTCCTCTGATTAGCAAAAAAAGGTTCAACAATAAAACTGATCAGCACTAAGTACTAATTAAGATAAAGGGAAGTTCATTAGGACCACATTACACCAACTTTTATGTCGTAACTTTGACAGGTGCAAAAATGTAAAAAGGAATTGAGAAGATTATCAGTCTGCTGGTAACCTTAGTTTTAAGGTATCTCACTACACAGGAGCCAGCAAATCTCATACCTTTTAGAAGTTAGAATTAAAAAAAAAAGATATTTTCAAATTTAAAACGAAGCTTATAAACAATATATTATGTACAAAGTAACCAGAAAAGTAATGACCCAACGGGAGCAGCATGCGAACCCAGCAAAGAGAAAAACAAGCTTGGAAGAAATAGAGAATATAGTGCATTTAAGAGGGCTCAAAAATGAACAGGCCCTTATCTAAATGATTGCTTGAGCAGTCCTTAAGGTTTCTATGTGTTCGACTTGTCATATTCTATGATAAACATATAAAAATATAGCAAATTAAAGGGAATCTCCTGAGGGATGAAAGCATGTATTTTAGCGAAGGGAGTTTGGGGTAAATGCAACGAACCAAGACGTGGCTGATTCGTGAAGATCTTGGTAGACTTCTAGGAACAATTGTCAAGCAACTGAAGCCACCGCTGCAAAATAATAGGGATGGAAATAGGTTAATCTTCAAGGTAATCTCAAATGCCTAAACAAGATTGGCCAGAACAGGATCAGCCAATGTACGTATAGACAAAATGTTATACAGACCGATTTATCCTAATGTAGTATTCTATCGGTCCTTGCTTGGCAAGCGCATCATCGTGGCTGATTGCTTTTGAAGTTGATGGTTGGACAATTCGAAGGCCACGTTCGGATGCAGGTGATGCCTGACGAGCTTAAGGAAAACCCGCAGTTAAGAGAAGGGAACATTATGTGCCCACACAAAATGAGCCGCAGCTACGACCAAACTCTTCAGAGCATCAATAAGAAATGCATAGGCCTGTTGATTGTTGACAGGTGAAGAAATGCAAACGAGGTCCGAGAGTCACTGTGGCTGTAGTGTAGGATGCTATAGACAGAATGAAAAGATAGGTAAGCACAGAAAAAATCGAGCTCATGGCAACTTGGGCGGCCCGAGCAAGGAGGTATGTCTGCCGGGCATTGGTATAGATGTTGTAGGTTCAGTTTTAGGACCGGTGAATAGTTCACGGTTGTAAGAAAGTGTGTCAATAAGATTTCGTGGTCCAGGAACAGGGCGTTTGGCTTCAGGTGGAACATAGTAACTGATGGATACAGGTGGTCGGTCCACAGGTGAATGTTGGGTGGGCTGTATAGGAGGCGTCACGATCAAGGAGGTAGCAGGTCGTGGGTGTCTACTGGCCACTGGCAAGTGTAGCGACATCAAAGCAGGCGGACGTGAGTAATGGGCAAGTGCACCAGAAGCCAGGCCAACAGATGAGCCAGCCACTCGGAGTGAGAGGAGTGGCAGTCCATTCTGTCGGGTTCGTAGACTGCGACTATGCATCAGTATACTGGAAGCTTCACTACGAGGTTTATCACTGTTACGAGCGGCAGATATAGGAGAGAGTGCGTCAGAGGAAGTTGTGTCCGTATTTGTATTAGAAACGGACTGCTTCTCTTCCAAGCTTTCCGTATCGCTATTAGCGATTGAGAGGATTAGCAACTCATTCTCGCCTTCTAGCGAACTATCAACAGGATTATTACAGAGTTGGCTCTCAGGGCTCCCTACTGAACCCGGCTGGTTGTGTTGTTGGGACTTCATGCCTCGAAGGCGATCATCACAGTCGGCTTTTTCCTTTCTGGAACTCGACTCATCAGTCAAATCCCGAGTGCTTTTCACTTCTTGATTGATTTTGTCTGTTCTGTTCGAAAGATGTTCTCGTACAGGAGCGGGGCCAGGTTGACCAGTGCGTTGGCACATCTGCTTACCAGCCATTTCGTGAAGACCAGGGTTTGGGTTGTCCCTCTTATTCTGCCTGCTCGTAGATGACTCAGTCGCCAGGTCATCCTGTTTAAGGCGGCGAGCCGACTTTAGATTACGCTCCAGTCGATGCAATTCTTGGCGCTTACGAGCAACTTCGGCCTCACGAAGGGCAAGTTCGGTTAAAATCTGCTTTTTGCGAGTTAATTCCTCATCCTCCTCAAGTAACTCCATGAGCCGCCGTTCTAATTCACGACAATCTTGGTCCTCGAGGCGAGGACCAGCTGGTAAAACTTGCTCAGCCAGGTCAGCCAGCTCCAGCTGTTCAAAGGTAGTACGCTTCGGTCCGGAACCGGAAGTTGAAGAAGCCGCAACTGCTGCCGCAGCCTCTGCTGCTGCCGTAGCCGTAGCTGCAACTTCTGTTCGCCGGAAGTCTTCAGGCCGAGTTGTGACTGTATTCTGGGATGAGTTTAGTTTAATGTTGATTTTACTGGCAGGATTATTGGAGATGGAATGATCTGAATCTGTATTTGTCAGATTATCGCTTGAAAGAGCGGTATGGGCAGGAAGGTGGTCATTAGGGGTGCCATGGGATGAAATATTTACCAACGAGAAAGACGGGGAGGGGAGAGCGAGAGAGGCAAACTGAAGGGCTTGGGAGGCTGTCATTTTTGAATCAACATCCGCATTTATAGATACTTCGGCAACAGACGCAACTTGACCTTCTACAGGATGGTTTCTAAGTGGCGACCGTGTTGCTCGACTGTAGAAATTAGACTTCCTAGCCAGCGTAGTCGGCTTAGATCGAGGCCGCGACAGCATAGGATAGGAAAGCGAAGCTGCATGAGCCAGATAGGGTAGATAGTATGTACTGTTTGCAAAAGCTATGGATCCCGTGTAGCCAGCCTCAGAAGAATTGCCCTCGGAATCGAGGCGCAGCCGCTTTCCTTCAACGTAGTTCATTGTACTAGAACTTTCGACAGGGCTTTCGCCG